ATAGACGGCTGCTAAGAACTCCTCGGAGGAAGCTTCCTGAAGCTTGACCGCTACTGTTGCCGCCGCAGGTGGTGGTGCCCCCGATGGCGATCCAGAGAACAGATTCCGTTCCAGGTCGTCAAATTCTTCTTGGGTTTCTGCTTTCGGGACGTCCAATGTCGAATGCGAGGTGGGCGCTTCATCAATGCTAGAGCCAAGAGAAATATGTGGGACCAACTTCCGCTTGATGGGCACCTCTTCTGGCGAGTCTGAGTCCGAATGCGAGGCATCGCGAGGGACGGGTGCAGCCTGGGGCTCGTCAACCGTGATCTGGATCTTATCTAGCAGCGTCTGAAGTTGCGGGAATGATTTCGGTGCCTTGTGCGGCGGTTTGGCCCTCAATGATCTCAGTGAGCGCATCTGGCACCGAAGGTTGTCAACCGCTCTTTCAACGTCAACGTATGACCACTCCATAGGGGGCTCCTGCTGACGAAACCATTTGTCCACCTGCACCGCGAAAGGCCGCTGCTTAAGTTGGGCCCCGCGGGTCTCGTCCAGCAAATCAGACAACAACGAACGAGATTTCAACATAGAAGCCCAATTCGACGTACTCCCATCCTTGTTTCTCTTTCCGGCATTCCAGAGCTCACGGGGCTTGCACTGCGCCAACGGAACATTGTTACTCAACGCCTGAAACACAACTTTGTCGTCCAATTTCAAGCTTTTGCAAGTCGGCATGAATGTGCAGATCACAAAGACGGAGACATATGATCGCATACGCGATCGGGCAAGCATCGTGCCAAAACGGCTATGGCTACACGGATGTGGCGGTTGCGTTGGCGTGTGTTTTTGTTGTTTGTCTTTGTTCACCACCCACCAAACCACCCCAACCCAACCCGAAGGCTCAGATTTACCCTCGATTTCCAGTGGGGGGGGGTGTCGGGAAACATTGAACAAACACGTCTGGAACCCTTACCCCCCAACCCGAAATTCGGGTCTTCGAGTTGGGTTGGGGTGGTCTGGTAGGTAGTCATTTGTCGCCGAACCACCCGCACACACGATTCTAATTATATAAAAGGAAGTTCGGCCCTCCCCGTGTCTTCATCCCCCTTTCTCCGAAACACACATCCGTCCTTAAACCCCCTCCTCCAACACCAGTCACCCTCCCCTCCGCCTCCGCCACCGCATTTGTGGTGGTGAGTGGTGGTGGCGGTGGTCGCCGTGGTGGTGATGGTGGTCGTCGTGGTCGTGGTCGTGGTCGTGGTGTGGGTGGTGGGTGGTGGGTGGTGGGTGGCGGTGGGTGGTGGGCGGCGGTAGGTGGTGGGTGGTGGTGAGTGGCGTGTAAAAGGCATTGGTGGTGGTGGGCGGTGGCGTGGTGGTGGTGGTGGTAATGGTGGTTGTGGTGGTGGGTGGGTGGTGTGTGTGTATGTGCACGTGCGTGTGTGATGTGTGGTGTGTGTGTGGCGGTGATTGTGGTGGCGGTTGTGGCGTGTGCGCGTGCGTGCGTGTGCGTGTGCGCGGGGGCGGGGTGGTTGTGGCAAAGGTTATGGTACGTGTTGGTAATGGCGGTGGCGGTGATGGTGGCGGAGGGGTTGGTGGTGGTAGCGGGGATGGTGGTGGTGACGGTGGTTGCGGCGTGCCTATGGCGGTGGTGGTAGCGGTGATGTGTGCGGGGCGGGGGCGAGGTGGGGGTGTGGAGGGAGGGTGGGAGGGGGCGGGAGGGGGGGGAGGGGCGGCGTGTGTGTGTGTGTGTGTGTGTGTGTGTGTGTGTGTGTGTGTGTGTGTGTGTGTGTGTGTGTTTGTCGTGCGCCACGTGTGTGTGTGTGTGGCGCCCCAGCGAGGTGCGTGGCGGGGGGGGGGGGGGTGATGGTGGGGTAGTGGGTAGTAGTTGCGGCGGTGGCGGTGTGCGAGGTGGAGGTGTTGGCGGTGGTGGGGGAGGCGGCCACCACAACCACCACAACCACCACAACCACCACAACCACCACAACCACCACAACCACCACCCACCACCCACCACCCACCACCCACCACCCCGACCACCGCTACCGCTACTACCATCAGCACCACCACACCACCACTATATAACACCAGCCACACACACATGTGCACACACACACGCGACGCACACGCATGCACGCAGCACGCTCACCACCACCATAACGATCGACCTTCCCCCCCCTCCTTCCGCGCACCCGCTCCAGGACGAGGAGCGTAGTGGGGATGTGGAAGAGAAAAGGTGCGTGCATGCGTGTGCGTGTGAGTGGTGGTGGTGGTGGTCGTGGTGGTGTTGGTGGTGGTAGTGGTGTTGATCGTGGTGGTGGTGGTGCGGGGGAGCGGGTGGGTCATGAAGGGTGTGCCCGTGTGTGCGTGTGCGTGTGTGGTGGCGGGGAGAACTAGTGATGATTGCGTTCGCAACGTCGTATCCGCGCGTGCGCATGTGCGGAGACCTTCTGGGGGAAACCGTCGCGCGGCGCTCCATGGGCCACGTTCAAATAACAAGATGATTG